CTCTAGACTGTGCTAGAGCTTCTGTTAGCTGAGCCCATAAAAATTAACATTTGCATATTGTCATTGTTTTGACTGAAACTTCCTTTAAATGTGTTTCCTTTCCAGCAAGCATATGTGAAAGGTGACCTCTTATCCATGTACATACCTCCCTGGTGATCATGTGACCCAGTTTTACGTCAAACTGTCAATTGTGATAAGGGACACAATAAGAACAGCCTAAGTGTTGATAACCTGTTTCCTGGCTTTACTGAGAAGTTCTGTGTAAGAGTCCACTTGTGTTCTTCTTTCAGCCTTCTGCTGAAAGCAAAAGCGATATACACCCAAAACATTTTGCAAACAGATACTTCGTGTTCAGTGGACATTTAAGTTTACAATTTCCATGATGAATAGTATGAAGACAACTCATTTTGAACTGTGTGATTCAGCAACTAAAGGATGCATCTGGTAAGAACAACTTCCTACCAAAGAGGCAGGGCAGGCCGGTGTGTAGGAAATAAAAAGCTATCTACAATTTTCTGATTTTGCATTTTAGAAACCTGAAGTGTTTGACATTACTACATATATGGCAGTCATCTCACTCATAAATGTCAAAGCTGTGTGAAAATCATGCATACCACAATCCACATCTGGAAAATTCAGGCTCTAGTGAAAAACGTGCCCCTGTATTAATCAGTGCAAAGACTGGAAGTGTTCTCTAGCTCCTACTGGCCCAGCATTACTTAGCACAGTTTACTGTAACAGGAAAGTTTGAGAGATCATTTCTTCACAGACTTCAATATCTATACCATTTATTTATATTTTCTAATTAAAAATAGAATCAGCCATACAAGGCTCCAGGGTGCATTAAAATTAAATAAATTTCCAAGAAATAAGACTTGTGAGTTAATTCATTCATTCCGACAGAAATGTTATTTTTTAAAACATTCACCTATATTTGCAATAAATACAGGTGTCTATCTATCCATCCATCCATCCATCCATCCATCTTTTTATATTGTTTACATGGGTAAAGTGCATGATTAGTATTTCTGGCAACATTCTAGCTTTATAGCCAGAAACAACATCAACCTATCTCTGAGCGTGTATCATTTCAAGAACGTAATAAATTCATAAAGAACAGTAATACAAGGAAGCCACAGAAGTGCTACCATGTAACCATACTGAGAATTCTGATCATTAAGACTTTGTTACTGAACTAATGATCCCTCCATTAAAATTATTTAGCCAAAAGATTGGAGACACAGCTAGAATCTGGCAAGGGACTGTGTCCACTTGTAGGCTGAATTTGACTGAGTTTCCTCTATTTGTTGGTTTTTCCTCTTGTCTAGGCTTAAAACCTGCAAATATTCAGTAGCTGCAAATCAGAGAAAGAAGCAGGGGGAGGGGGAAGCGGGCCCGGGGGAGGGGAAGGGAAAGGTGCTCCCATATAATTGTGAAGATCATCCAAGCTTTCTTTAATGTACAAATCGTTGAAGAGGTTTCTCAGCACAGATAATGATAACTGAGTACTAGACTTGACTTCATAAAATAACCCCATCAACCACCAACAATAAAATTAAGAAAAACTATCATTGAGGTACTAGCACTCATCACTTCCCTTGCCCCTTCCAGCAGTTACATTACCAGTACTTAACAACTCTCAGAAGCTGATGTTGAATCAAGAAATCAAACCAAGTGGCCATTATCAATTTGTAATAGGCAGTTAGGAGGGGGGTGACATGAACTTCTTACAACAAAATTATAAGATACATGTGACTCATTAGATGCCACTGAAGCAAGAGAGATGTTTTGTAACTATTCATGTCACAGAATAGAAATACCTGGCATTTCAAGGCAGGTAACAGGAAGACCCACCAGCAATTGCTGCAGAAAGTAGACTACATGGTTATAATTCCTCATTAAAACCTTGTCTTCCTAACTGTCAATGTAGCATACTGAGAAATGCATGCAACAGCATATTTTTCACAGTATCCAGATCAGTAATAGCAAATAAACTGCTCCCGTTGGTGCTCTTCTGCAGTCTTTCAAAGTTGTATGCAGCGCTTCCCACCTAAATGTGAGTATTCCAGGTAGGTTGTGCTTTAATAGTTTGCTGGAAGCTCTAGAAAACTATCATTTTGTCAAAAAAATCCATGTAAGTGCATGTTGCAAAATACACGTACAAATTTTAAATTTACTGTGGTTACTGTAGTTTAAACAGGCTACATAATGGTCCTTTTTCACAACAATAAAAAGTACTCAACAGTATATGCCAATATTTTTCATAACCAGAGGGAATAAATCTTCATAAAGGCTTCTCCAATGAAGTAAAAAATGTACCAGTGATAATATTTATTCTTGAGGGGTCAATGTGCATTACAGACTATGTGAATTTTTAAAAGACCTCTCTGGAACTAAAACCATTGGCTTTTCAATTTAGAATTTCTCTCCACTAGTACAAAATGATTGATTGCCTTTATTTCATGTACCCCTTGATTTTTCTTTTAATTCATCATGGGCTTCTTTAAACCAAATGCATTTAAAATCTGCCACAAGGAGAGTGGTCTCTCTTAAATTGTTGTAGAGTAATGAAAGGACATAGTAAATCAATCTCATTTCTGCCTTACCAAAGGATAACCTTTGCTCTATTAAAGTTGTTTAGACAATCTCAGTGCTCTACCTCGCTTTCTGGGTAATAAACATATATAGCACTGTCATCTCCGAGGTGCCTTTAGGATTGTAGAGAGTGAAAGTAACTAATTCATTAGAAACTTTCATATAGGCACTTACATATTCATATTTATCCATCTGAAAAAGCTTGTTGTTAAAGCATTCTGTTTGTTCAAATGGTTTCGACAGTACATACTATTCCCTAATTTTGTACATATTTATATATGTAGTCATACACACATACTGCCCCCCAAATAGCTCAAGCAGGCACACACATATATCCATTGCATCAGTCAGAAAAGAATAGAGAATTCACAGCAAAGATGAAAACATGACACAATTTTAAAATTTACTCTATGTCTCACCCATCATCAATTGGTGCTCCTGAATTAATATAACAAGACTATACGTTAGGAGGAAGAACACTGCTTTCACGCAGTAGCATTGAGGAATTTTTCTGTTCATGAGGCATATGTGAGACCTAATTTATTTTCTCCTTCCTCCTAAGCTATCTGCCTACATGTTTTACCATGAAAGGGAATATGAGACTCAGTGCATGTAAACACTAAAGACTGTGATGACCATTAAGATCCCTCTAACTTTTATGTTCCTATGACACTGCTGAAATCTCCACATTTATTTCCATCTACACAAAGATAAAAATATACAGAAGATGCATGAAATAAGCAATATGTTATTTACATGCCATAAACAGTCAGGAGAAATTGAGAGTGCTGCCACTACCTTCTGTCATGTCACAGGAAGTTTGAAGCTCTTTCAATGACCTTGGAAGAAGGTGGAGTGGGCTTAAGCAGTAGGAAATTGGCAGAAATAACTGTGTCTAAGAACATGTAGTGGAAAAAAAAAATTATTGCACATCCCCAAATTAACTGGATGTCAGAGACTTTTCAAAGGCTACCGTGTAAAACTTCACATGAAAACAAATCCAGAAAGTACATGCACTGTGTTTGAAGAGAGATGTGTGTGTGTTAAAATACAATAAATATGCTGCGTATCTTTTGAAAAGAACCATGTTGTAGTAGTTATAACACATTTCATAATACAGCAATCTTTGAGAGGTTAAAAAAAAAGCAATACATCAGAAAATTTGCTGAAAAAATGAGTGGTTGGCAAAACCACTAATTGTCATTTTGGATTTTCATAAAAGTGTACAGATGTTTCCAGTTAGGTCTCACTGTTTTTTTTTTTTAAGAAAAAAAAAAGTTGGCAAAACACCTACTATCTTGAATAAAGGATCATCTTTATAATTTTCTCTGAACTCTGCATGTGGTGACCTTTAAAACGGACATACTGCCACCTTGCCCTGGGAGAGGGTAGGGGTAGGCAGTTCCAGATGAAGCACACTTCAGCTGTATCTGAGCAAACACAAGAACAGGTAGGTTTTACAGAAAAATGAAAAAGGTGTGTATGCCAACTGTTGACAGGAACTCAAGCCTGGGAAAAAAATATATTATGATGAATACCAAGGACTACTTAACAGCCCTTTTCTTACTGCCACATTCAGGTTTTTCCTTATAACATTTTACATGCTGTTAATTTCAAGGTCCTATACTGTTAAGGTCTAGAAGCAACACCAACACACATCATAAAATATGTTAAAGTTCTAAAGGGTTTGAATTTGTTCCTGTTACTAGCAATGTAGCATTTCTGTATATGTATGGCCTTGCTACTGACTGTAGCTAATTTGTTTGTAAGCCATCATTAATCTTGGCTGTATATTTTCACAGTTTGGGTAAACACTTCATTTGCATTAAATTTACAGCATTAATGAGATGTGAAATTTAAAATGCTACTTGAAACATAGATGATGTCAGAAACCAGAACAAAAACATGGGTTTATCACATTTGAAATCAGCAGACCAATTTAAACCTCTTAAATGAGACATGATGATGTCTTGCATTGAGAATTTGGTTTTATAACTCATCTTCTGGAACTCAGATGAAGAAATTTAGGTTTAAATATTGGGGGGGTGTAAAAAAAAAAAGCTTGAAATTTGGACTTTTTGCTTTGGAAATTTTGCTTATTTTTTAAACTTATTTCAAAGAGTATTTGCTCATTATACACCTTATTCTCTTTCCTAAAATCCTATTAAAGTTTATACGTATGAGCCCTTAAAAATAAAATTATCAAAAGAAGTATGATTAGAAGTTCCTTAAGATGGCACAAATCTAAGAAATAAAACGTATGCTAAATTGATGTTTCTTAAAGGGTTTAGTTCTGTTTTGAATAAACTTCATCTTCAGATGAGAAATATTGAAACTTTTAGTTTCCCAGTCTAATCCAATATAACAGTGGCAGCACGTAGGAAGGTAATATCGCAAAAGCTTCTCTATATAATTACACCTATGTGAAACTTGCCCACCTGTTGCTGGTGTAGGAAGGATGGGTCTCTTGGGCTTAGTCCCACATATCGATTGGCTTGGGATGTGCCTGAGGCTGTGTAGGCTGATTAAGGAAGAACAAAACAGATTGATAAAGATACCAACCTATCGTATCTATTACTCTCTGCAGGTACAGTACACATAGGAGAGATTCAGAGTTATGATTTTGCAATATATAGGATGTGTCTGTGGTTTTCCTTTGTTTAAGCTTTAACAGAATGCAAAAAAAAATTGGACCAAATTTGGAAAGGCATGTGTAAATTCCTATAAACTTCAATGGAAGCTGCATATGTAAATCCTAATGATGTCTCTTCTTAAATAAAGTTCCTCTGATTAACATATTTTTACTTTTTTTAAGCTATTACATAAGGCATGTATTTGAAGGAATCCCGAGCCTGATTCGCATTTCCATTACATCAACCTAAGGCACAGGTGAAACCACTGAGATTACAATGTTGAGATAAATTACTAGTGCACACTTTTTATTCTTACTGCTGTGAAGGGCCATCACAAAACTGTAAAGAACAACAAAAATTGGAATCAAAAGTTCAGTTTAGTTATGTTACAAAAAAATTATCATTACAGCTCTTTGGAAAGAGAGTGTAATCTATTCAGTACTTTTCATGAGAAGAGACCTAATTTTTACTCTATAATATTAAATACTCCATTCCCCTATACATCAGAAACAAAATTTTCCTAGGGGGGCAATTTAAGGAAGTCTCTTGCTGTATGCTACAGAATATTAAAGAAATCCATTTCTGAGGAGAAAGGGTATGGTAGGTGATGCCGGGATTAGTTACAGGATATGGATCTTTCACCTGTAGGTCACATTCCTGTCTGGTCTCTGTCAATAGTCCCTAAAAGCTATTATCCTCTCATGGTTTTTGCTGGCACTTACAAAATGATGTAGGTGGTCTTACTCCACTTCCCAGTGTGGAGATGTCTGCACTGCAACTTGCAGGATCACAACCTGGAGAGTTGCTGGCAAACAAAGCAAAACTACTAAAATTAAACAGACATACTCAAGGATGCCAGTGAGGAGCTAGATGGGAGAATTTACTGAATTAGTCTATTAACATTGAAGTCACACAGCAAATGCAATCAAATGAAATCCATTAAATTTAAAAAATAAAAATAAAAAAGGCTTTATACAGTAAAAAGACTTTACTGAAAAACTGTCATAAAAATTAATCAGGTATTAGAAGACAATTATGGGGGAGGCCACAGGGTTCCCCAAATATTATCAAAGCCTGCTGTTCTTTCTCATTCAAAACAATTCTGCTACTGCACTTCAGAATGAAAAGCAGTGCTAATCACTCTGCATTTTATTCTCATCAGACTGAATAATAATGACAACTTGTTGGCCAAGCATATATTTTAGATACATATCTATTTTGAACCAATAAATCAGTTATTGCTAATAAAAGTAAAATTATGCCTTATATTTGGTCTTGATTTTCCCATTAAGTTAACCTTAGTACTCTGTGTGGCAAGTCCATTATGGCTGATAATACAGTTTATATGTATTTATATGTAATTATATATGTATTCATATATAATTTATATATCAGCAGGACATGAGCCCTCATTTTTTTTTGCTGTTTTCTTCATCAGCAACCTATGTTCCTGCACTTTTTTGCTCTTACAGTTAGCAATCCAGTTTGGTAACTGTAAGTTACTAAAGGCTTTACCAAGCAGAGAGACAGATAGACCACTACACTGCTCTGAAAACCATAACAGTCAGAACATGTAGCATTTATACGTTATCTCATATGCAGAAGGGGAAGCCAAATACTTTCATAAAGCTATCCATATAATTATTCGTTTATACTTAAACAATAATTTGTGCAAAATTTACTACTATCCTTCTATAGTCAAGACAACGCCAGTTTTCCTCCTTTACATCTCAACCACACCTATGCATTTGAGTGTCACCTCTGCTTCACACTCAAATGAAAAGATTTAAAGTAGTATAACACCTAAGAAGCATACATCTTAAGGTCATCATTAACAACAGACCAAAAGTTAGGGACCCCCTGTTCAAATACCAAACAGGCTTAAAGCAAGTCGTTTGAATGTAATGGACCCTAAAGAGATTAGTATTTTTAAAGACTGGTAAGTTGTCTTCTAAAGTGTATGTTTGGAAATGTGTCCTAAAAATCTTCACCACTGTGATAAATACTGAATACACTGGCCATCTCAAGTCCAAATAAAAGTTCAAAGACAACAGAAATGCAGAAAGTCATTAAAAAACAACATTCTGCATCACTGAGCATAAGAGGAGTACTTGGAAGAGAAGAAATTACCATACACATAGCAACACCTTTCCTCTTCTTTCCAAAACCGCAATTCCATTGAAGATAATAGGATAAATAATATGGTCTTATATAGTAATAAAGGGCTTAAATAATTTGTTAGAGTTTGGGTGTTTTGGGATTTTTTTTAAAACAAAGAACAGTGGACCAAGCATCCATTGAGGCAATAACAAGGAATTAAAATTTTCTTTTGCCACATCAGGTTTTTTTTCTAGATGACACAACCTATATCAACATGCAATTCTCATAGCTCGGATTCAGTATGCGTTGTAACAGGACTTGATTTCTCTAGGAAAGTTCATTAAGGATCAAATTATTCAATCTCTGTTCGGAATTCCATCTGCGGGTCATTGTAAAACCTTGCTGTCTGGGTGTGCTTCTCAATGTCTTAACAATGTCCACCTTAGATGAACAACCACGTTTCCTTTTTCTTGAATAGTGGTCAAATGCACAGGCTTTTCCCTTTGATTTTGGTTTTCATGTCACAAAATTTGGTTCATGTAACATGATGCATTGGTTGAAATTTGGGGAGGAAAAGCTTTGCAGTCAGATCATGTTTGCTCTCCATGTGAAATGATGAGCATCCACTTGGTCAAATAGTAGGAAAAGGCACCTTTTTCTGGCCTCAGTTTGAAATCATATTGAATCTTCGATGGACATTTTTTGTTTCCTAAAGAAATACTTACTGGTTGCTGTAGGTGAAGATGCCTCACCTTCAGTGGATGTAGTAGTGATGGGTTTAGTATCTGTCATGGTCAGGGTCACAGGTCGCACCGCACTGTGATGGGGAGAGGGTGCCAAAACTGGAGTAAAATGGCCAGGCACTTTCCCTCCTACTTGACCACTGCTGTTAGGCTACAAAACAAAACCAAAAGAATGCCTTGTGAAACATACATGTTGCTTTTAAGGAACCTACCCACCTATCTTAGGGTTTTCCAGATTTGCCCATCACTGTAGTACCTATGTGCTGGAATACGCCGTAGTAACGAAACTATGAATTTTGATCTGGTATTTGCAGCGGGCAGATCTCTCCTCAGATAGGCAGTACTTGCTTAAGTAGCAGTACTTTTTGGTAAGCTTGCTTTCTTTGTTTCTGGATGCAACATGCATCAGAGGATTGTTTCAAAATATATTTGCTGTTCACACAACGCTGTGAACCACAGTAAATCCCACGATAGCAGGATTAAACTGTCCAGGCATAGGCCCTAATGTACAAAGTATTAAGAGCAAACGAATGATGCAAAACCTCTGTTTTCACATGCCATACCACTCTGGCTTGGAGCACAACCAAGACTTGACCACAGCTGTCCACAGAGATTATGCATACTGGAAGACTGACGTTTGGGAGAGGGGTAGAGGGTTAGGATATGATGCACTATAGTGCATATGTCATAACATCTGGCCAAAAGCTACCTACTAAAAACACACAAGTGTTTAATAATGGGAACTTTGCAAGTCATGAGCATGATAAACGATTGTATTTCTTTCCTAGATAGAAGTCTGCATATGACCTTATATATGCATATGTCCTTATATGCACTTTCTGCATATAGACACTTCTGAATTTGGCAATGGTCACTGGTAGATGTATATGTTTATCCAATGCTTAATCACGTGTTAGACGTTCTGCATGCCTGTGCATATTCCAATGGTAAATAACTTGCTGTAAAAAACAGCAAGTAGTAAATAGGTTTTTCAACAGTGGCTGGTAACTTTTGTCTTAAACTGGCTTTGTGTTCTGTGAATCACAAGTATTTTAAAATACAGATGTACAAAGTGAAAAATTCTGGGAACCTTTTTATCAGAAGGATCTTGTCAAATCTGAGGTAATTCAGAGTCCAGATAAAGGACCTTATTCAACTGATACAGGGAAAGGTTAAAAGAGGTAAGCTTGACTATGGAAATGAAATAATAACTAGGCTGAGACAATTACTGCAGTATGTGCAGACTGTAAACACACAGAAGAGGAAGGAATTATTTGGAAAGTACAGGAAGTATAACTCGGGGTAATGGAATGAAATCGAGAAGGAGAAAATTTAAAATTAATAGCAGGAGAAACTTTCTGGCAGTATAATCTACTAGACTTTGCAAATGCCCCCAAGGGAGAGTCGTCTTCTTCAGGACATCTAAAACTAAGCTAGAAGAAAACACTAGAAAATACAAGTACAAATGGAGGGTATTCATAGGGACATTGAGCAGTCAGCAGACTACTTCCCTCTGCAAAATCACAAGCCTTACAATGACACCTAACAGTAAAAAGGTACACTAATGAAAAGTGGCCAACAAACTACCCCTCTAAATGAAAAACTTTAGTCTCTAAACATAACTCTGTGGTTGGGGGGGAGGGGTGTGGCGGTGTTTTGGAGTAGGGGGGAGGCAAAAGAGTCATGGAATTCCAAGAACTTGTAAATAGAGAAATCGAATGGTATTTACCACTTTTCATTCATGTTCCTAGATGCGTAAGCTGAGAAGTTACTATTAGGAGTTTAGTAACAGGAATAAGTGTCAGCTGTTAAAGAAACTTCAAAATAAGAAAGCAGCACAGATTCAAAGAAATTACAATACTTTCACAAACAACACTGTTTCCCAGAACAACTGGCATGCTTCATTAATTTTTATTCACTCAGTGAAAATCTACACTTAGATAGCTCTCCCTTATTACGGGTACTTGACATGAAAATGAGATGTGGCAGAATGTATGCAAGACAAATTCTAGAGAATAATGTGGCCCAAAAGTTTACTGAGCATCTGTTGCATGCTTACATGACCAATGGGCCATAAGTGGGGAACTCGTTCTGTACTTAAAGAGGTCTTTCCTCAAGAATACAAATTACACCTTTATGTTATTGTAATCACATATTAAGTATGTTTCAATAAGTCCATTTTCTTTGAGATCTAACTTGGCAGTGGTTTAGGGAATTTTATTCTGTGGGCTGTATTTTAAAGGCCTGCCAGCCTCTAAAACTAGATGTCTTGGCAACTAGAAATCTGACTCCATCTGCCTTAGAAAAAACTGAAAATATTTAAGTAACATAAATTCAGAAAATATCTGATTTACCTAAAATAAATTTCCCATTCAAATGACCCAACATACTCCAAAACTTGGAGGTAAGTACCCTCCGTACAACTGATTGCAAGTTGTACGGAGTTGGAGACAACTTAATGTTCCAATAAACCAGGCTCTGTCATAGGTAAGGGAGCCATGACCCAGTTTGAAGCATTTTAGGGGAAATCTCAAAAATACAGGAAAGCCTTATAATAAACTTTTCTCTAAAACACCAAAATTCTTGTCAGTAAGACCTGCTTGCTAGACTGGACTAGATTTTCAGCATGTTTTGGGGGAGCCTGCTGCAGGGCAAGACCCCTCTTCTGTCCTGGCAGCCCAGCTGTCCATAAAAGCCCCGAGGACTATCACCTCTCAGTTGTGTCTGGGGGAGTGAGTCACTGACACAGATGGAATCACTGAACTGTGGCCATAGGGCTATCTTAGGAGCTTTGCTCATGTGGGGTGCTAACATGTCACAAAAACAACTGAGAATCCATTACCAAAGTGACCAACTTCTATTAAAATCTAAGAAAGAAGATTACAGGGAGTTTAGGGATTAAAGCAGCCAGTGTAATCACCTTCCAAAAGCAGCTCTGTCTCCAAAGCCAGACTCAAATGAATTAGAAGGGCAGAGCTGGAGACCAGGATGATTTACAGCAACGTATCACCTTCTACTGTTCGCTGGTGATCCAGCCTAACAGCGGGCTGGATGGAATGCAGTGGCGCACATGGGTTCCAGCTTAGTCCTTGTGCCTACGGTCCAAATGAGCAAACCCTTTTCTTGCTGAGTTATAGGACAAAGAATACACTTATACTCCATTCTCAGGTAAACCATGTTTTTCCCTGTGCGATACGTAACAGCAATGCAAGACATCATCCTGCTTCATCCAAACTGAGGATGAAATCCTGTCCTTATTGAAATCCATGGGGAACCCACTAGTGATTTTAGTGTGTGTGGTTTGTGACCCCCAATCAAACGTCAATATCAGTAACAAAACTGACATTTAAGTTACCATAATTAGTTCACATCTTAAGATCATATAGTAGTCCTAAATAAACTAATCACTCGATTGTCTCAGAGTTATTGCTTAAGGCTTTCTTCCATACTGACACTGACAATGCTGCGTTGGTTTATACTCAAGGCACACTTCTATGGTTATCTTTGCAAACACAAAACTAAAAGCTTTTGAAATAAAGTTCTAGATTCTGGACCATGGTAGTTGATAGTGGTACAAACTCAAGAACGCTGGGTCTCTTGGATGTCTCAAGCCCTCTGTCTTGTTTTAAGTTTTCAGTTCAGAGAGGGAAACCCTTTGGTCAGAAATAGCCTTCTGGAGCTGCCAATTCATAACTTTATTGAAAACTGGCAGCTAGAAATAGCTTCTGTGACCTGTTCTCCTTTTAACTTTTGCAGTTATGTCAAAAGATATTTTAGCATGGAAACTACATATCTATTTGGACAGTATCCACTTCAATTACAAGAGCAAATATTTTTAGCACATCATTTAATACAAATTAATTTTATTCTTATTGAAAACAAGTTCCTAGTTTCAGTTTTGCCTGAAGAGTTTACTGCAGACAAAATCATACACAGGTGAAAAATCAACTGTTACCATCAACTAGGGCATCAATATGTCGGAGTGATGGATTCACAAACAGAGAGATGATGCCTGAGGCAAAAACCCCAAGTAAATTGCATGGAAGCAGCTGTGTTATATAAACAAGCTGTGCATTTGAAAATGGGAGAGGGAAGGAAGCAAACACAATTAAGGTCTGGCAAATTTAGCCCCAATTTATTCAGGTATATATTTTTCTATTGTTGGATTGGAGGCTAATCTGATTTTCAGGTCTGTGTTACATTTTTCAGCTTTTTAATTCATACCATCTTGAACTGCCACAGATTAATCCATTCATGTGACCAAAGACACAGATGAGTTGTATTCACTATTTTAGCTGTAATGTAACTTGACTCAGGTTGTCAGACTGTTAGTATCTGTTTATGTGCCCTACACACGGTTTCAGTTAGTCAGGTCTGAAGTCTGGATTCACTACACTTGTTTTCCTTGCTGGGATTTTACTAACATATTTATAATAATTAATCAAACTTCTCTCAGACTTCTGTTCATGTATTTGCCCGAATTATCAGCATATTTACACCTTAGGTCTTCAGTTACATTTTAGGACAGTGCTTTGTCATATAGCTCACTAATTCTGGTGTTAAAATCTTTCTGATGTCACAGTAAAATGGCAACACTAACATCTACAGATGGGATATCAAAACATAGCAAGAATTTGACACACATATAAACAATTCATATAAACTATTAAGTTGCTTAAATGATAAAATATATTTTATGGTTAAATTTGCACAGTATCTCTTTTTTACAAAACAATTGCAATTCCAAATTCTGAATAAAATTATTTCAATTTTCCTTGGGATCTTAAATACAAAGTGTATTCAAAGAAATAATCAACGAAGTCCAGAAATCATCTTAATCCTGTGCATGTCCTAGGTACGGCTACATATGATACTTTCAGAAAGAAGTTTCAGGACTTAATAAAAATAACATTTTCCAACTAACCACTATACTTGGAGAAAAATACATTTGCATATCAAAACAGATTTTTTTCAATGGAAACTCTCTATTTCCCAAGAAGGTTACCCTATTATAGCAAGGTATAGCAATTTAGTCAAACTGGAATCAGTGTGTTTAGAAATACTCTGTCACCCATTTCTTCTTAATAGGTCTGGTCTCTTGAAATGGCACATTTCAGATACTACTGTGAAGAATTTCACTGCAAAACCCTA